TGTTGAAGTGTTGAAGTGCTAAGCCTCAGTACTTCAGAATGTAGTCCTATTTATCTGAAGATAGGGTCTTTCTTTTAAGAGGCAATTAGACTGAGGTTGAAAATAAATAAATAAATAAATTAATTAATTAATTAAAAAAATGAGGTTGTTAGAGTTGACCCTAATATGACTGGTGTCCTTAAAAGCAGAGGAAATTTGGACACAGAAAGGTACAGAGGAAAGATAATGTAAAGATACAGAAATAAGATGGAGCATCAACAAGCCAAGAGTCTAGGACAGATTCTTTCCTCAATGCCTTCAGAAGGAATCAACCTTGCTAACACCCTGATCTTAGACTTCTGGCCTTCAGAACCATGGAAAAACAAGTTTCTGTTGTTTAAGCCACCCAGGCTATGGTACTTGATTACAGCAGCCTTAGCAAACTAATACCACCCTTTTCTACCACTTCTAGGCATCCCTATTTCTCATCTTTCCTTCAGAGACAAATTCTCAACGAGCTGTCTATACTCGGTGTCTCCTTCACCACACTTCACTGTCATTCCAAATTCACTCCAATGTGCTTCCAGCCCTGCCACTCCATGCTCAGTGACCTCAATCTTGCACATTCTAATGAACATGTTAAGTTATTCTCTCATTTGATCTTTCAGCAGCATTCTACAGGGTTCCCAACTCCATCCTGAAATGCTTCCCCTGGCTTCCATGACACAGAACTCTTCACACTTTTCTCCTCCATCTCTGGCCAATCCTTCACTCTCTTCTTTTCAGGAGTATCCTCCTCTATCTTGTCATTAAATGCTGGAGTTTCTCAAAGTTCAGTTAAAAAGCCCTCTTTTCACCTACTCTCAGGACTTTCCTTGGTCAATTCTCACCCACATCAATGCTTTTAATTGCCATTCATACATGATGACACACAAGTATGTCACCAGCCCAGACTTCTCCGATTTCTGGACCTGTTTGGGACTACCCTTCCATATTTTCTCTTAGTGTCTCAAAGTCACCTCAAATTCAACATGTCTAAACAACATGCAGAAGAATGAAACTGGACCACTTTCTTACACCATATACAAAAATAAATTCAAAATGGATGAAAAACCTTAATGTGACACAGGAAACCATCAAAATCCTAGAGAAGAACACAGGCAGAAACCTCTTTAACCTTAGACATAGAAACTTCTTACTAGACACATCAGCACAGGCAAGGAAACAAAAGCAAAAATGAACTATTGGGACTTCATCAAGATAAAAGGCTTCTACATGGCAAAGGAAACAACAAAAATAAAAGGTGGTCTACAGAATGGGAGAAGATATTTGCAAATGACATACCTGATAAAGAGTTAGTTTCCAAAATCTACAAAGAACTTACCAAATTCAATACCCAAAGAACAAATAATCCTATCAAGAGATGGGCAGAAGACGAATAGGCACTTCTCCAAAAAAGACATCCAGATGGCTAACAGCTACATGAAAAGACGCTCAACATCACTCATCATCAGGGAAATACAAATCAAAACCACGATGAGATACCATCTCACACCTGTCAGAATGGCTAAAATTAACAACACAAGAAACAACACGTGTTGGCAAGAATGCAGAGAAAGGGGAACCCTCTTGCACTGTTGGTGGGAATGCAAACTGGTGTAGCCACTCGAGTACAGTATGGAGGTTCCTCAAAAAGTTAAAAATAGAACTACCCTATGACCCAGCAACTGCCCTACTAGGTATTTACCCAAAGGATACAAACATAGTGATCTGAAGGGGTACATGCACCCCAATGTTTATAGCAGCATTACCAACAATAGCCGAACTACGAAGAGAGCCCAAATGTCCATCGACAGATGAATGGATAAAGACAATGTAGTATAGGGGTGCCTGGGTGGCTCAGTTCGGTTAAGCGTCTGCCTTTGGCTCAGACCCTGATCCCAGGGCTCTCAGCAGGGAGTCTGTTTCTTCCTCTCCCTCCACCCCTCCCTACTCCTCCCCCCACTGCTGCTTGTGTGCACTCTCTCTCTCTCTCTCTCTGAAATAAAATCTTAAAAAAAAAAAGATGTGGTATGTGTGTACGTACACACACACACACACACACACACACACTGGAATATTACTCAGTCATCAAAAAGAATGAAATCTTGCCATTTGCAATGACATGGATGGAACTAGAGTGTATTACGCTAAGTGAAAGATGTCAGTCAGAGAAAAGTACCATATGATCTCACTCATATGTGGAATTTAAGAAACAAAACAGATGAACATATGGCGGGGGGGAGGAGAAAGGGAAACAACCATAAGAGACTCTTAACAATGGAGAACAAACTAAAGGTTGATGGAGGGAAGTGGGTGGGGGATGGGCTAGATGGGGGATGGGTATTAAAGAGGACACTTGTTGTGATGAGCACTGGGTGTTTTATATAACAGATGAATCACTGAATTCTACTCCAGAAACCAAAATTGCACTCTATGTTCATTACCTAAAATTTAAATTAAAAAAAATTCAACATGTCTAAAACCAAACTCATGATTCTCCATACCCTTTTCCACCCACACCCAAACCCAAATCCTGTCCAGTGTTTCCTATCTGAAAAACAAGACCACCGATGCATCAAGTCTTGCAAGTCAGAAAAACGATTCATCTCTGATATTTTCTTTTTTAATTTTTTTTAAAGATTTTATTTATTTATTTGACAGAGAGAGACACAGCGAGAGAGGAAACACAAGCAGGGGGAATGGGAGAGGGAGCAGGGAGCCCGACGTGGGGCTTGATCTCAGGACCCTGGGACCATGACCTGAGCCCAAGGCAGGCGCTTAACAACCGAGCCACCAGGCGCCCCTCTGATATTTTCTTCTTACCCTTACTCCCACCACTTTTCTTCTTGGGACTTGGCACAACTGCAATTTTACAACTATTTGTGTAATTATGTAATCATGCGCCATAAAAGTGGGAACGTAGTCTATTCTTACCATTATGTTCTACCTAGCCCAAAGTCACATTGTAGATATTCATTTTTTGAATGAGTGAGCAAATAACAGATATTATTTATAGAAAATTCATTATATGCTAAGCATTAAATATTTTATAAACATTATTTTCTTTAATCTTTGTAGCAGCCCTATTAAGTAGGTATTATTATTATTGTTGTTGTTGTCATCCTCAGTTCACTGAGGAGGAAGCTAGGGCACTGAGAAGTTACATTTCCTTCCTGAGAAAGTAAACAACTTGGAAATAGTAGAAAAAGGTGGACCCAGATCATGTAAGTGACTGTATATCACTATGCTATTCTATATTTATGGTTTTCAAAGATACTCTCAAGCTACTTGGCTGAAGTTTACCTGGGTTTAATACTATCTATAACTTATAAATATATTACAAAGAAAAAGTTATCTACAATTAATGTATGCTTAGAAATCTTTAGTGTATATGTGGCTATCATGAGAAAGACTAAATCTTTTTGCCTGGAATTCAAGATATTCCATGATCCAACTTCTTCCTTCCTTTGAAGCCTTTTCCATTCTAACACCCTGATGTTCTAGTCAGGGGTCAGCAAACTACTGCCTGTAGGCCAATTCTGACTACCCATTATTTTTGCAAATAAAATTTTATTTTAGCACAGCCACACACATTTGTTTATATGTCTACACACTACAACAGCAGAGTTTAACAGCCATAGCTGTAAGAATTGTACTGTCCACAAAGCCTAAACATTTACTATTTGGCCCTATTTTATAGGAAAAGCTAGCCAACAATGGGACCAGACTTATAGACTAGAGCCTAGTACAAAGAATATAAATAGATACCATTAATCAAGCACTGGATTCTTTCAACAAACCTTTCAAAAGAGGTCTTGTTACCCTTGTTTCGGTTAATGAAAGAAGGGAGGAAGGGAAAGAGAGAGATGTTAAAAAAGAAGGAAGTCCGTTGAGGTGCACATGGGCAAATAAAGTGACCATGATCACAGTAAGTAAGTGGAGGAACTGGGATTTAGATCATACTTGCTGACCATGTTTTATGATTCAAAGGCCAAAAACTTCCCATGGTGCCTTCAGAGCTTGGGATTTCATGCTGCTAGTGTTTATTTATGCTGTTCTTTCTTCTGCATAAAATGCCAATTCTTTAAAACTTAAAAGAGGTTCCTGGTGAAATCTTTACACATTCTTGGAGAAAAAGCTCAACTACTACACCTCCTCTGCTGAATCTTCCTAGATTACCTGCAGCCCAGGGAATAACCCCTCCTATAGATGCCCACAACACTTCTGTCATCCCCTTTAACACTTAGGACTTTATCCCCTTAGCTTAATGATAGCAAAAACCAAATCTACCTTTATATTCTATAGAAAATCTAGGACAATGTCTTCTACATTTCACTGCTGGATTTCTTAAGTAAAATATTTAATATTTATTTCTTAATTCAACAGAGGAAAATCAGAATGTGGTCTAAGTAACAGAAATGTCATAGTATTGAGCTTTAGTATTTTTAGCCAACTGTTTTATAAAAATCAACTCTCAAAGGAACTAAAACTTCCTAAGTATTAAATACATTAAAGGTTTCTATCAGCATCAAAAAATAATGAAATTTAATGTTAAAATTCCTTATATTATATGTCATCATTTTGCTAGGAAAGAAAAACTCTTCATAATGCCTAAATTAAAAAAAAACCTAACAAGTTATTAGAAATTAAGAATAAATCAGTTATTAATAATGAAATTTTATTGCAAGAATACAGAGACCGCAGATGATATTTTCCAGCAACTAGTTACCTTTAAAGTTCATAATGACAGAGTGAGATGAATGCTCAATGTCATCACTGTAGAAATAATCTAGTTTTAATGAAAATACTATTAGTAAAAATGTACATAAAATAGTTTTAGTCTGTTTTGATAGGACTCAGATTCTCTATAGAGTATAATAAGGCTTAGTATAAAATCAGTCACACAGTAGAAATTATTTTTTAAAAACCCTAACATTTAGAATTTTTAAAAGTTAAATATATTCAAATCAGACACCTACCTGCATCACCTTCTGCTGAATCTCCTCTAACTGTGTACGCTTACTACGTTGCCTACAAACTTCCTGGTAGCGAGTATACTGTTCTCGCAGCGAATCTAGTAATTTCATAACCTGTGGCTGGGCCAGCAGTTCATCATCCATAGGAGACCATGAGACCCCTCCATCTGAGCCATTAAATCGACGCTGCTGTAATTCGGACAACAATTCATGCCCTTTACAAATAAAAGATACTTATAATTAATATCCATAAAGAAATACAATTCTTACTTCTCAATCTCAATTTTAGTCCCTTATTTTTAGAACCTATCTGCCTATATGTCTGCCTAACTATCTACTAGGTCATAATTACTGAAATGCAAATTTTTAATATATATATACAAATAAACAGGAAATAGCATATTTCCTATATATGCTACACTAGTTAGTAAATATATGGCATATTTTTTTTTCTATATCTATCTGTCATCACATTCTTGTTATTGGTGGATTCATTATTTAGGAAATTGTGCCAACCAATCCTCTTTCCCTGTAAAGCACAATTACACTCTGGGATTTCTGTCTAGTATGGTACTAACTAGTATGTTCCATTTGATGGTACTAATCAATACTAAGCAGGATGTTGTAGGATTTCAGTATTAACCCATACCCTTAATCATAGCATCTAAAACAAAAGTTGACAGTGTAACAATGTATGATTAAAGGGAGAAAGTTTTATTACTGGTAAGAAATAAAATTTAAATAGTCTCTATTTAAGGAATCTCTACAAAATATTAACTGTGAATCATGAGAGACTACACTAGTCTTAGAACTTCAATTTATTCATATAGCAAACTCATGTAAGAAAATCCATTCATGCATGAGAAATTAAAATTGCAGAATATGCAACATCTAAAACTGGAATTTTAGAAGTGAATAAATCGCAAACTGTTTTTCCAGGATATACTATTCCAATTATTACTTAAGGACCAAAAATATATGCAGATACTTAAATTCTCTTCATCTTTATTCAGAAAAATGTCCTAAAGTTAAATGCTTTCAATATTTAGAAACAGAATTTTTATCATGATTTGAAGGTAATTTCAATTTCTAAAAAATACCCAAAATCGTTCTAAACCTCTCCATTTGTTTACTCTCTTTTTATCCCTATTCTAAGAGTCAACAGCATCTAAAAAAAGAACTTAGTGGCATATAAAGTTAATTTCAAAATACAATTAAAAAGCTTCTTAATTCAAGGGCTTCAGTAGCTTCCAAATGTTAAATATAACCATGGAATTAAATTTTAAACCTACAGCAAGCCATATTTTTACTGATAGTCCACTGTACCTGCTCACCATGTAGGAATTCATAGATTACAATTATTTCTTTGTTCTCTTAAGGAAGTAAGATCAATATCATTCAAAACAGTACAATGGAATCAATACAATGAAGATATTCAGAATTCTTCGAATTGAAACAAATACAAGTATTTCAAGGGAGAAATAATTTAACAGTTTATCATTATTAATACTTCCCCAAAATACTGTAAAGTATTTTTAAAGTATACTGTAACCTAACACACTGTTAGGTTAAACCAAAGACCAATTTTAAAATTCCCCTTGAGTTTCTACCACATAATACATGTTTAATCAATTTTTATTTCATGAACCAATCAATATATGATTGGTTTATTGGATTATTATCAGCGATAAACACTTTTTTTTATCTTACCTGTCTGAAGAACTGTTTCAGGATCAACTGATGGAAGAAAGTTTAAATCCACAGACCTGGCAAACACAACAAGAATAATTTTTAAAAACTGTATTTTTATCTATACAAAGAAAATCCTTTATGTATGTGCATCAAAACAGGAGCATATGGTGTGGAAATCTGAAGCACACTATTCTACCAGGCTAATGCCCTTAAGCATTAAGAAACCAATTAGAGATAATTAAACACTAGTAGCCAAAAAAAAAAAAAAAAAAAATCTATGGGAAAATCACATAGTTTATTACTATAGTATTATTTCAACTATATCGAAGGAATCCATTTTAGTATTTTCCCACTGCATATTTATTCCAAAATGAAATGTGTAACTATATAATAACGCAGAAATGTTAACATTAAAAATGCATGGAGCCATCCTCCAATTAAGCGTTACTTATCTACAGCAACCTTGAGAGCTACAAATAGTCTCTGATATTCATGTGCATGTGCATCCCTAAGCAGTTGTACTCTCCTCCCTGAACTAATTGTGTTTCATTTGCAGTTGGACCATGCTCTGTATTTTTTTAAACACATATGGGAAGTAGAAGATGAAGGAAAGACAGAGCACATGGCAAATCAAAGCCTAGGACCTTGCTGCTGTAATTGACCGGTCCTGCTCTAAATCTTTCACTTTTGTCGATTCATCTGGGCCCTCGCCTCTTATGTAGCCTGGATGCTTCTGGAGTAATGACATTAAAAAGGTGATGAAAATTTCAAGTGGAGGGACTTTATTATCTGGGATTTAAAAGAGACTAAGTAATAACACTTGAGTTCCTTGGGGAGGAACTGGCAAATACAAGATTTTATTTGATACTTCATGTAGTCATGCAAACCAGCATTTCCCAAAGTGTTTCCCAAAACACTGAACAAGATATTATTAGATGGAGAAAAAGGGGTCCCGTCAGCATGTAAGTACAGGAAACATGTTTCTTTACTGCAATGCTTTCTCAGACCTGTAATCTGTAACAGTCATTCTCAGAGAGGGAAACCTGGTAAACACCATTAAGCTGTGACCATGAACTAATTTTCTACAGGGACCCTCTGAGGATGTCTTTCCTGAGGAAAATGACTTTAAGAAGCATCAAACTTACTCTGCTGGGCTACTCAGAAAGCAAGAGGTTTGGCTAATTTTTGTCAACCAACTTGTGTGACGTTTTCAATTCTTAAACTATAGCATAGAGTGTATGAGTTATCTATACACACATTTACGTGCATGTCAAAATTTTACATTTTATATTTTTATATGGTATCTACAGGACAGTAATGTTCCTAAGTGCTTCCTGTGACTGTAACTTGATTTTCATTCAAACCATTTGTTTTCACATTTTCACTTTGCTTTAATCAAGATTTGGTGTTAAACCTGACCTTTTCATATCCCTCTTACCTTATTATAAACTGGTATGTGACTATATTTGTATTCAAGGAATAACAAGATGCATTTTATCAAGGTCCCATTATATTTTTAAGGTTCGATTCAAAAGACATAAGCAAGGATGAGTGTTGATCCTTTCAAATTTCCTAATGAAAAATTACTGTTCTAGTAACCACTTTGTTGAGAGACCAGAAAGGATTAATTTGCTTCCTAAGGAGCTTTTAACCTGGGGAGAGGGATTTGGCTTACCAACAAAAAACTGAAAACTGTTAAGCTTGTAAAGTTCAATGGAATCTGTTAAAATGATACATCTAGATAGTTACATTTAGATAATACAACTGAACAATCACTTCATCCAGTGTCATAAACACTAAATTCTCCAAGCTGAACTCATAGATATCACATATTTTATAAGGACCCAGGAGTTCTGGAAGTTAGGCATTTAAGAGATATTTAAATAAGGTTATAATAATTTTATTTCAAGCTGCAACCTTTTCCATAGTCTTCACAAGCAAAGTAGAACTCTAAAAAGAAAATGGTTTCATTTTGGAAACGTGTTCTTGCAAATGAATTTTTAAGGTAAATGCATTTTATTCATCAAAAAGTCTTTTGTAGAGAAACTTTGATTCAAATCAAGAAATTTTACATGTAAAGCAAATTCTCATGAATTAATAAACAAATTTAATTCAACTTTTGTATGTCAATTTTGACTGGAGAATTGCTTACACCTTACTTCTTTTAGCTTGCATTAATAGAGGTATTCTTCATCAGGTTAATCATAGCTTTGCAAAGGTATAACTCCAAAACACCAGCCACCTACCTTTCTTTCTCTTGCTGATTGCCTTTATCACTTCCATTGTTAATCAAAGCAAGTTCATCTAGTAATGATGTAGATTCTTTTGTAAACTTCTCAAAAACCTACAATATGAGATTTTGTTAACATATTAAGAATAATCTTAAAAGTTAATGTTTACATAAGGATTTTCAGTTAAGTAGAATACAGTTAGCCAGGCAGAATTCCTTTTCCTCTCTTGATGTCACTTACTACAATTCAACCACCAGTGCACAACAACTTAAAGGACAGAAGACAAAACCCCCCTTCCAGAACAATGAATAGTTTCAATGGATAAGAAATTTTTAAAATTTAAATAGAATAAGAAATTATTTTTATTCCTCAGACAAGTTTATTTTTATTTCTGTGTTTTGTGAAGAAACATCTGCACTAGTAACAGTTTAAACTACATGAACATGATTTAGACCAGTATTAATCTTCTAATTCCCGTTATAGAACATTTCTTTATGTTTTTCTATCACTAATGCACACTGGTTGCATATACTGAAGAGTTTTATATATAAGCATGTAGCATAAAAATAAACTAGTTACAACTTTAACATGGCTTCTTAAAATATTTCTAAAAAGGGATTTGGGCAAGTCTGTTTATAATAAAGGGGACACTCATTTGTCTGATATAACTGTCCAAATATGATGAAAATCGGTTATCCATTCTGAAATACCCAAGTTTATTATTCTTCAATAAAGTTAAGCTTATACAGTTGACTCTTGAACATGTTTTTGGGAAGTCAAAAGTTATATACAGATTTTCAACTCTGGGGACGGTTAGTGCCCCCAACTCCCATGTCATTCAAAGAATAACTGTAATCTAAGCGGAGTTAATAGAAGTTGTTCTTTTAGTCCCCAGTAGTTCGATTAAACAATGCCATAGCATGCAGAGGAGTTGACTTCAGTCTGGCCAGAGATACATTTTCAGAAATGAAAACCTTAACCTGTCAAACTGCTCTTCAACTCAAACTGATGTTTAAATATCCTCTCTGAAAATGGTACATCAACTAGATTATGCTACTCTGTCATTCAACTAAAATATTCACAATTTTGACTAGAAATACTGCTACAAATGACAATAGCAAAAGCAAGCACTTACGAGTCTGACTGCAGAGTATTTGCCTTCAAGCATTATGCTATCATGTGGTATGCACTATATTTTATTTTTGTAACAAAGAACAATCTACATGTTAATTAAAATGATAAAGTTACCAAAATATGTCTTATTTGTATGAAATAACATTTTTATCTCACTGTAATATACCAACCAGTCTCTTATTTAACCAGTCCATGTGATCATAGGTGAGACTCCCACCAAAATCTTCTGTTAACTGGCATGGTTCTATATAACGAGTCAATTTATTGGCAGACACTAAAATAACCTATAAAAGTAAAAAGAAAAGAATCATTTAGTAAGCCAATGTTAATGGCCATGAAAGCAATAAGGAGGTAAAATCAGGTTAAAATATGCAATACTGTTTCCAAAATGATGGTATATTATCATGTATTTAATTAATACAAGATTTAATACATTAATGGAAGCATTTAAAATCAATTCAAAAATTGTGGATATCTGCTAATAAGCTATTATAAACCATATATAATACCACATTTTAAAAAATGAGACACAGCTGAGATGAAATATTTTCAAAATTTTATCAATATTAATAACTTCTTGATAATAAAAATCAATTACTTTGATACAATGTATTCAGCAAAAAAATTAGCCTTAAAATTAGCTAATTATAATAAGATGATAAGCACAAATAATAATAAATCTGGCAATCAAAAAAGTATACACTTTAAAGTTTCTATAAAATTTGATTATGTATTAACAAAACATGTCCTGTAATAGTGGAGTAAAACTCAGGATAACATATACTAATATTTAATTTGAAAATCAGAACTAAAAAGCAGGGAGGTCAGAGAATTCATAAACTTGAAATTCACATATTAAGGTGATAATCTCTTAACACTGAACTTTAAAATATTTTAAGTACAAATTATAGAATGACCTAACAGATCACTGTGCACTAAATAAAATTTCAATGAGGATATACAGGAATATAAAAGAAAATATATGCGTGAGAGAAAGATATTCAAATGGAAATGTTAATGCAAAAATGATACATGGACATTTTAATTCCCCCCCACCCAAAATGTGCTAGTAAAACAACATGTTTAATGTGTCCGGCTGGAAAGAGCACCATTCACATCCTAACAATAACAAAAGCCAGATAATCTATAAAATTTTAACTTCTGTGGAACTTTCTCTGAGAGCCAAGGTCACAGAAAAATCACCTACTCTGAAAACAAAGAAAAGACAGCACCATAGAGAGAATGCTGGAAGGGAAGCCTACAAAGTGGCATGTGCAAAGTTTTGGGGGATGATGGAATTCTTTGGTATCATGACTATGAGGAAGGATTTATATCTATATATGTTGGTCAAATCTCATAACTGCATGTACAATACTGGTCAATAAATCTCACTTTTTAAAAATTTTAAGAAAAAAGACAACAACAAAAACAACATAAAGACTTGTGGGCAAACTACTAGAGAAAGAAGGAAAAGAAAAATTCAGAAACATTCCCATATGCAAAACTGGGTACATCCATACCATATATGAAGTTATAATATAAACACTAAATGAGGGGAAATTACCAAAACTGCAAACTGCTTTGCTAAAGGGGGAAGGATAAATCATCTTAGTAAGATACCAAAAACATGGTATCAAAAGTTCATAAAACTATCAGTGAAAAATGGATCCATCATAATAATTAAACTGTATAACAAACTGCTATTGATAATAATACATTAAGTCCAAACTAAAAGCCTTAAACATTTATATTAGAAAAGAAAGGGTAATGAATAATGAAATAAGTGACCTACTTAAGAAGCTGGGGTCAGGGAATAGTGGGAGAACAACAGAATAAATCCAAAGAAAATAGAAGGAAGAAGGTGAAAAAATAAGAAATAAAGCCAAAAGTTTTCCCCAAAAAAACTAAAATAAAATGGACAAATTTCTGAGACGATAAAGAAAAGCACAAATAAATAACAATAAGAGTGAAAAGAACACAGCTACATTGACAGCAGTGGTTTAAAAGATAATACAGACACAGAAAAATCTTGTGTCAATAACTATGCAAATTTAGAAGAAATGGACAAATTCCTATAAGAAATCATTTATCAAAATTGGCATAAGAAAAAACAAAACACTTATACCAATGAAGTAATCACTAGACTCCATTTTCAGTAATCATACCCTTAGTGATAATTTAGTATTGTTATTCTGAGATCATTTGATGAGGAAGAAAGCAAATAATTAATATAAGACATTCTAATTCTGCCATTCCTGAGATCCCTGAGAAATGGAATTCTTGAGAAGGAAGATGTAGCAGGGGAAAAGTTACCCTTATGCTCTTCAATTTGAGTTGGAAGTATCCATTTAAACTCATGATGTATTTCATCTTAAATAAAAATACACACACTATTCTCATACACAAATCTAGTTCTCAACATTGACAAGTTTAGAAAGGATGACCAGTTCTGTAGAAATGGCACACCTCTAGCATCCAGACTGTTACCTCCAAATACCATTTCCCTCTAAAGGGAATCAAGGCTCTTTGGAGAAATGGCCAATTCCAGATCTTGGGGCTAGAAACATTCATGATGAGCTTAGACCATCTTCTCACCCAGGTATCAACAGAGGTATCAAAGACTACTTGGGTTGTGCCAAAAAGCTTGAAAAGGCTTCCAATGGCCGAAGATGGAAAAATTTGCCTATCAATAAAAATAATAAATGCCGTATTTTGAAACATTAAGTATGTTGAATTCAATGAGCTCATACTGATACAAAAGAAATGATCATCACTGGACTATCCTGGGGAATAAATTTACTTTATTGAAAGCTAGCAAATGCAAGGAAATAGGCATTTATCTCACCTTTCATATACAAACTGTACCACTGGGTAAACAAACAATGAAGGTAAGTTTCTCATTATTGATGTGTTCCAGCTAGTGAATGAAAAAAGAATAGAACTAAAACATTATCATTTTAAATCTTTATTAAATCCAGGCACTAAACATAAAGGGCCACCAGCATCACAAAAAAGATAACCATTATGAGTTTCATGATCAAGGAACACATTACCACTAATGAATGACCTTGGAAAAGAAAATTAAACATGAATCTAATCAATTGTCTAAATCTAACTATCAATTTATAGAAATACAGATTCAAAAAGGCAGCAGAATATGTTAAACTACACCACACAGATGCTTGCTGCAATGAAAAACTGTAAGACAAACAACAACCTGGTCTCTTCAAGAAAAAAAATACATAAGAAAGGAGAAAGAAAAATTAATATTAAAAAGCTTTATTTAATGAATTAAGTATAGAATCCCACAACCAATAATAAGAGAATTACATATCCTTTTTAAGCATGCATTAAATATTTAAAAACTTGACTATGTATCAGGCCATAAAGAAAGCCTTGGTATATTTCAAAGGCACTAACTGAAAATATTCTATCACTACAATGAATTTAAGTTAGAAGTAAATAATTAATCAAATCAAATCAAATTAATAAGATTTTAAGACCCTATCTACTTGGAAAAGGATCTCAACCAATCACAATATGTCAATACTACTTGGATCCTGATTCAAATCAATCAATTCATCTGTGTATATGCATAATTTATATATAAATTTATAAATAAGTTTTAAAATATATTATTTATATATTTTATATATGGCTCAATCCTTTTATGATATTTATTAAATAATTATAAATTTGAAACCAACTAGCTCTTTGATATTAAGAGGAATTGTTTCTTTTAAGGGAAACGATACCATAATAATGGTATTGGGTTATACTTTTTTAAAAGAATCTTTATGTTGGGCGCCTGGGTGGCTCAGTTGGTTGGGCGACTGCCTTCGGCTCAGGTCATGATCCTGGAGTCCCTGGATCGAGTCCCGCATCGGGCTCCCTGCTCGGCAGGGAGTCTGCTTCTCCCTCTGACCCTCCCCCATCTCATGTGCTCTCTCTCATTCTCTTTCTCTCTCAAATAAATAAATAAAATCTTAAAAAAAAAAAAAGAATCTTTATGTTTTAGAGACACATAGTAAAATATTTACAAATAAATTCAAATGTCTTCAATTTCCTTCACTATAATAATATCCCCAGTCTTCTTTGAGGTAAATAGATAAAGGTAAGAATGGGGCAGGATGGACCATGGTTTGATAGATGCTGGAATTGGGTATAGGAATGCTTGGAGTTAACTGTAATATTTTGTTTACTTTTTTATGTGTTCATAATTATAATAAAAATACTAAAAACCTAACATATATATATATATATATATAAACTCTTTTAAATGAATCTTTTCAGAAAGAATATGCCCAGCCAGTTTACAAGTGAGTTTTAAAAATCAAAGAACAGATCATTTCAATCTTTTTTTAAGCGATATATATATATATTTTTTTTAAAGATTTTATTTATTTATCTGACAGAGCACAAGCAGGGGCAGCAGCAGAGGGAGAGGGAGAAGCAGACTTCCGTTGAGCAGGGAGCCCAATGTGGGGCTTGATCCCAGGATCCTGGGATCATGACCTGAGCCGAAGGTGGACGCTTAACCAACTGAGCCACTCATGTGCCCCCAGATCATTTCAATCTTAAATAAATGCTTCCAGAGAACAGAAATGCAGAGAACACTCCCAACTCATATTATGAGACTAACACTGATACCCAAGGACAATCTGAGAAAAGAAAAGACCATAAGACTTGCAAATATCAAGTATTAGCCAGTATCAAGCAAGGCTGTGGAGCAGTGAAAATATTAGACACTACAAGTGGATATATAAATTAGAATGCTTTTTTGGAAAGCAGTTTGGCATTATCTTAAAAATCTGAACTGGATAAGCTGCAAACAGAGAAAATCTCATACATGTTTTATCAGGAGACATGTACAAGAATGTTTGTAGCATATCATTCATAATGACAAAAGAATGGAAACCCAAATGTCCATCAACAAGAGAATAAGTGGATTGTTTTTATTCACATAGAAGAATAACTTTCAGCAATGAGAATGAATCAACTACATCTACTGCAAGAATATGCATGAACCTACCTACAATGAGAGAGAAAAAGCAGGTCAGTGAACATTAAAATCATACCATTTTTAAAAAGCTCAAAAACAAGTGAAACTAATACAGTATTTAGTAATAAATTATATCTTTAAATGGCAACTCTAGAGATATAAATATAAAAAATAAAAGATAAACACTCCCTATTTTCTTCCGAAGATTTTGTCTTTCACATTTAAGTTTTTAATACGCACACACACACACACACAATGAGAAAATAAACAAAGGATGGATAA